GTCTTTGTGCATCTAAATGATGCAAACTGACTTAGTTACATATCTTTGCTCTATTTTCAGTGCGGATATATACAATGCTATACCAAAGTAGGGCTGCAACAACTAATCAACATAATCAATGATTGAAAAAGTTGTCAACTTTTTCAATCATCGATTAATCGGCTTCTGGTTAGTTGGCGCTGTTTATGGCTCCACACACGCTGCGCGCCGCACCTCCTCCCCACCTCTTGCTCGCCGCTGCCAGACCCGCCTGCATCCACGCTCCACACGCCGCACCTCCTCCCCACCTCATGCTCACCGCCCTCCCACATCCACGATTGGCAGTGACGCAGGGAGAAGGAGCAGCAGGTGTGGGGGGATGACAAATTGCCGATAGACAGGCCCTATCTCAGAAGCAAGTTGCTGGAAGACTGCTTAGGTAAGCCTGCACTCCCCTCCACATGGTGCTCTAGAATGTATTGCTGGAATTTGTATTCCTCTATAACTGATGGTACATTGTGCTGTATATTATACAGAGGACTACAAATCCCAGCAATAGTACATTATACACTGTATGTATAATGTGCTATTGCTGTGATTTGTTGTATCCCTCTATAGCTGGTGGTATTCTGCATTGCGCTGTATAGAGGACTACAAATCCCAACAATAATACATTATACAGTGGTGCAATGCCGAATACCACTAGCTATAGAGGACTACAAAACCCAGCAATACATTATACAGCAATGCAGAATACAACCAACTATTAATGTATTGCTGGCATTTGTTGTATTCCTATATAGCTGGTGGTATTCTGCATTGCGCTGTATATTATTGCTGGGATTTGTTGTACTCCTCTGTAGCTGGTGGTATTCTGTATTGTGCTGTATAATGTACTATTGCTGGGATTTTTAGTCCTCTATAGCCGGTGCCATTATGCATTGATTGCTGTATAATTTTACACTTCATTTCACTATATTGCACACGACACTTTTTTTTTTCTTATTTACTTCCACCGCTCAAAGCTTGCTCCTGTGATGGACTACAATCTCAATACAAACTAGAAGTCCCATCCCTGGAGCCATTTTTTAAAATGTATTTTATTTTTTATCTGATTAATCGAACTCAATAATCGGCTAACTAATCGATTTTGAAAATAATAGTTAGCTGCAGCTCTATACCATAGACCCAGTCTGACCAATTTTACTGTACACTGAGATTCGTACAGTGTACATTAGAAGCTGCAGCAAGTCACATAAAGCCTGCCTCTTTTTTTCTGGCTTGTGGACATCTAGCATCATCCAGCTTTTCCATCCCCAGCTTTACTATCCTTGACTTTTCTTATATTGTATCTTAAAATTTTTCAATCATGGAGACTCAGCATCATATGTGTGCATTACATAGGGTGGTCTGCATGCAAATGCAGTCTGCCTAGGAAAATCCACTCCTCCAGACTGACAGCCACCCATCAAGGGATGTTGATATTTGCATAATTTTTTTTCTGGCTTGTGGACATCTAGCATCATCCAGCTTTTCCATCCCCAGCTTTACTATCCTTGACTTTTCTTATATTGTATCTTAAAATTTTTCAATCATGGAGACTCAGCATCATATGTGTGCATTACATAGGGTGGTCTGCATGCAAATGCAGTCTGCCTAGGAAAATCCACTCCTCCAGACTGACAGCCACCCATCAAGGGATGTTGATATTTGCATAATGCTTACCAGGAACCAACAGATTGTATGCATCAGGGCTTTATCTAGCCATAAATTATTAGATTTCTCTTGTTCATCCCCATGGGCTGAATGAGAAAAATCACTTGCTTCCCCCTATCACTCTAAACAGATAGGGTGGTGGAATCTTCCCTGCAGGCCAATGAATTCAGACAGGAGGCACCTGTGGCTGTAGGGATACCCAAACAGTGAACACATCATATTGGATGCAATCATTGTTTGTCTGACAATTTTCCAACTGGCTCCGTCGATTGTTCAAAAAACGTTTGTGGAGCTGGGAAGTGACGATAGGACCTCCCATGGCTTAAATTTCAGCCAATTCAACAAGGTACCAGCCAAAATGTGATCCATGTATGGCCAGCTCAATAGGAGTACTCAGGCAAGGTGCTGTGATATTTTCAGGGATCTATGTAGAGCACCAAGCCGACCCCTTCCACCAGCCTGCATTGCAAAGAGAAGCACAAAGACCCAGTGATGATGTCACTTAGTTTAAGATAAAGTAAGGAAAACAGAAAAATACAGGCAAAATGCAAGGAGATTAAACTTCAACTTTAAAGAACAAAACGTGTACAAACTGGCTTCACTCATTTTATTGATCAAGAAAATATATATAATATAAAGCACACATTTTCTTTTTTTAATAAAGATTATATCAGATCACACTGGCATTTTCAAAACAGGAGTCAATTGCAATCTAAATTTAAGATACCTAAATTAAGCTAAATATAAAGAGGCGATTCGCTTGTTTAACAAAATCAGACTCCTAACTCAGAATAAAAGCAGAAGTCTCAGTTAAATCTATGTGGACGCCACACACCATTATCAAGGTGCTTCAACAATTGTGGTTCTGCTCTAAACTAGGGGAGAATACTGAGGACACATAAAATTATTAATCACTTCTATTAGGGCCTACAAGAGCACCAAGGCAGCTGTAGAAGTGTATAGGACTCTTTAACTTGGCCTCTTTAACTTCATCCCATTGTTTATACTGTATAGGTGGATTAAACCCACACATGAAGATTGGATATACAGACCCTTATAAATATCTGATCATCAATTGGTCATAGTGGAAAATTCCATCTAAGTTTTGGGCACTATCCACAGAACCATATGAACATTCATGGTCTGGAATTAAACATGTTGGAATTGTTTCTTCTGAAGGATTAGAATCCCTCGGAACTTTAGATAGGAAGTCGGCAAATGTGTGTGCCAAATGTAGGAAGGAAAATTGAGTTATATTTTAAATGAATGATAAACACCTCAAGGTAAAGAAACTACATAACAGGGCCTATAATCAATGTACCCATGTTCTTAAAGCATACCTAAACCCAAAAATAAAAATGTAATATATTGCAGCTGACAAATTCTTGCATGTGGTAGCTGCATGGTTTTCTTTTTCCCTAGCTATTTTCCCTTTATTTTCACCCAGCTACCCTGCAAATAACACGCATACCATCTCTGGTTGGTTCACCCATTCACTGTATCTATGAAGGAAGCCATAGTTCTCAGAGGTCTAGATTTTAAATATATATTGCCTTTTTCATCTCCATTAGATAAGCAATGAGGGGATTAGCCGTTTACATAGGATAAGATTATTTTGCTATATGGTCAGCTCACAGGAAAAGACAAGGACACTGCATTTCTTGTAAGATGAATGGATATCTTCTGTACTTGCTGAACAACATTCTGAACTTTAAAAAGGAAACCAATGTAGCCACCCCATCTAAGGGCTGGTAAGCTGCAAGATATGAAAATGTTGTTTTGGGTTTATATTCATTTCAAGCACTTCAAGATTACAGATGTAAAAATAGAAGAGGGAGATTGAGTGCCATTTATGTCAAATGTTTTTTTTGTAAATCTGTTCCAGAGTCTCTTCCACTTGCAGTTTTTTTTTTTTTTTTTTTAAGGCAGCTTACTTATACCTCTCGTCAGGTGTTATTTTAAAGTGAATCTTGGGACAGGCTGTTGGCAGGTAAGTAATTACATATTCTTAAAGGAATCCTTTGCCAAGTGAAGAACGGGAGGCTGCAATTGTAGACTACAAGAATACACTGTAAACGTTAGTCTCCTGGCTGTCATGTTTACTTTGACTCACTGACCCAAAGTGTACAGATAAGGACTTTGGACTCTACTCTGACTTTCTTGATGTGCTGATGTGATATTTATTCTATCAGTGACTCAGAAAGAAGGATTGTTATAACAGCCAATCACCTAAGCATTTTCAGAAGCAGGTTAGCTATGGCAGACACCATATAACTTTTAGGAAAGTGTTACTTTAACAAGCTACCTCGGTAGCTACAGATACTGTGGAGCAATTTATCCTCAAATATTCAAGTTGGCTCTTATAGCTTAGCCCACCGTGTTCCTCCCTCCTATGGCTGCTACTCTGCATCATTCCAGCCTTATCTCTAAGAATGGGTAAAAACAGAGTCACTGCTGGGAGCAGGGTGAGCTGAGCTGCTCAGAATGTCTTGAATTACTTTAGTGCTTCTGCTGTGAACTTTGTGGATGACTTGCTCCACAATGTCTGCAGCTACAGAGATCAGTGGTGATGTTTTTTAAAGCTCATTTAAAACACGTGAACAATAACCATAACGTAGCTAAATTAGTTCTTTAAGGACAAATATACGTTTATTTCAGCAGCTGAAGGAGCATCATGAAGCATCTAACCTACAGCCACCCTTCCAGAGAAAATCTGAGTTGTTTCTAAAGACACTGATACAAACACGGCAATGAAAAGTTACAATATTTTCAGGAACTTGCTGCAACAACTCTTACAAGAGATCTTCCTTAATGTTTGCTCCTAGTCTGTACATGTCTATTTCTATATGTCTGAGTGGACAGTTGCAAAACACAAATACAGTATTCTATAGGAAAAAATATTGATGCAGGTGGTGTCCGTTAGAAAATTTTCCTTCAAGAAGACTTTTTTTTTTTAAAACACAGCTCAACTTGTTCCCGAGTTGTAAAAAGTGTAAAAAAGATCAAGAAATGGTAGAAAGGGATGGGGTGAGGAGGTTCACAAAGTAAACTGGTTGTGAATGAAATGTTGTAGCTGGACAGAATAATATGGAAGATGAAAAACATTTAAGAATCCTTTGAAAGCCCATCTTCATCATCACTAATATGTGTTCTTTCTTCAGACACTCCACTTTCATCTATGTTCTCCAGCTCATCAGCCCTCTGGATTGCAAGGTCTTCCAGGTTCACGGTCGGAAGTGTGTTCTGCTCTGGATACACCCATGGCTTAAAATGTGGGTCATGTTTTCTCTTCCATTCAGGATACTTTAACCCAGCCTTATAGATTTTTTTCATGGCCTGTAAAAGGATTTAAAACATTAGGAGTAAACTTAGAAGGTCAGAGTTCTACCATGAAGTCATAACTTCATGAGGGATACTTTCTTGCTTAGGTGTCACAGAGAACAATTGGGCTTTTTTTTTTCTTCAATAGGCTTTGCACATTAAGTCTCTGTTCCCAACTTTGCAGTTTATGTGCCTTGCAATGTTCATCAAGGCGAGTGCACGGTTCTTAATGCTGCTCATACACATCTTAATAAACTCACATAAAAATGCAAACCAAAAACACCTGGGAAGGAGCAAACCGAGCTCCCCAGAACCCCCTTTTTAAGTTTTGCATATAGTAGAAAAGGGTTAAACTATGTTCAGGTGATCATTGTCATCAACACAAAAAAATAAAAAAAAGGGAAATCCTGAATTATAGAATGGCCATAAGACGAGCTTTCATAAAGGGACACAATGTTCTGGTGACAACTGCCCAAAATGTGAAGTTCCCTCACTTTGGGGAGATTCCCTCTCAAATCCTGTTGTATTGCTAGGGGAAGAAAGGGAAACCTCTCTAGCAAAACAAAAAAACCTGATGAGGTTTCAACGATGTCCTGCTCTATCCAAACTATACATACACTTCAATGAACAGTAAAGAGCTTCCAAACAAGCTCTCACTGACCTCTGTAGTTGCTGGCACCATGAAGAAGATCATGCTTAAAATTCTCAACAAAGACTCAGCTCTACTCCACTGATTTTCTCTGGCAGCATGGACATGGCACAAACAGCTGTTAAAAACTGACTAAAACATGACTTCAGAGTCTCTGTTGTAACATTTGAGAACTAACTACTCTACAATACCTGCAGCTGCAGAGGTCATTTAGGGGGTTTGTAATAAAGTCAGTTCATTTCTGGTTAAGAATATGTAAATTCTAACCACACAACAGTGGGCCATGCCTTGCTCTCTCAAGAAGCTCCCCATCACTTGTGTGCTAAAGCTCTGTCCACGTTGTCAGTGAGGGGAGTGGGCCACACCTCAGCTTTAATGATGATCTGTTTTGATGCCATATTGGCTTATTTAGTTGAACATGTTTTGTAATTGCAGTGTGCTTGACAGTCAAAATAGGCGGAGCTCTCTCCGGCTCCTCCATGGTACGGAGGGACAGGGACGTTCCGTGTGGGCAGCTTGCAAGGGTAGGAGTTACACATCAGCTAGTTAGACCCCACCGGAGTGACGCAACATATCCAACTCCTTCGTGTTAACATAGGTCTTCAATCGGAGGGGTGTGGTATTGACGAGGCTTATGAATTTCAAACAATGTTAGTTTGTTGCCAGTAGACTATGTTAATGCTCACAAATGATACGGGAATAACTATTTTTTGCCACTGTACAACACACTGATGTATGCAATGTACTGAGACAATAAACAAAGTATTTAAAAAAAGAATATGTAAATTCTTTAATGTCCATAGTTCCAGGGCACAAATGCATTGTACAGCTGAAATCAGGGCTAAACAAATAATCATCCTCATATTTTATTCCACGTGTGCAGTAATCCAACTCCTGTATTTTGCATCTGTGCATGTATTTGCTGCAGGGTAACTTGTATTCACCTCCCCACTAATCCCGTGTAATTTCCCGAAATCAGCTTTTAGTAGTGGGTACTTTTAGGGCCTGTTCCCTCTTTACTCCTCTCAGATTTAAACCATATGCACTTTGTGTGGTTTTCAGAGATTATATATATTATACACATTGAAGATACAACGAAGCAAGTGAAAATGTACAAAAACAAACACACTTCAATGAGCACACTACGAGTTATTTTAGACAAAATATAAAGATTTCAATATAAAGATTATTGCCCTGGGTTAGCACAACCTAGGAAGTACATTGTTTTCACTGAACGACTTGCATTGTGAGAAGGAGCATAATGATACACAATGAAGCACAATGATAGTGTAGCAAAGCAAATCAAAAAGCAGATCCTGCATGTGAATACAAGTGGGGCAAAAAAGTATTTAGTCAGCCACCAATTGTGCAAGTTCTCCCACTTAAAAAGAGGAGAGGCCTGTAATTGGCATCATAGGTAGACCTTAACTATGAGAGACAAAATGAGAAAACAAATCCAGACAAATCACATTGGCAGATTTGGAACGAATTTATTTGCAAATTATGGTGGAAAATAAGTATTTAGTCACCTACAAACAAGCAAGAGTTCTGGCTCTCACAGACCTGTACCTTCTGCTTTAAGAGGCTCCTCTGTCCTGCACTCATTACCTGTATCAATGGCACCTGTTTGAACTTGTTATCAGTATAAAAGACACATGTCCAGAACCTCAAACAGTCACACTCCAAACTCCACTATGGTGAAGACCAAAGAGCTGTCGAAGGACACCAGAAACAAAATTGTAGACCTGCACCAGGCTGGGAAGACTGAATCTGCAATAGGCAAGCAGCTTGGTGTGAACAAATCAACTGTGGGAGTAATAATTAGAAAATGGAAGACATACAAGACCACTGATAATCTCCCTCGATCTGGGGCTCCACGCAAGA